CGCGCGGGCACCCGAGGAGGCCTCCGTGCTGATCTGCGGGGAGACGGGGTGGTGAGGGCATGGCGGCGGGGAGCACCCTGGCCGGGCATCCCCCGAGGTGGCCGCCCCCCTCACCTGGAAGCGGATGCTGGCATCAGAGAGCCGGTGCCCGTCCTCGGCCAGCGCCTTCTGCCGCAGGGCCTGGAGCCGGCGCTCGGGGCTGAGCTGGTGGCAGAGCAGGGCCCCCACCTGCGCCCGCTCGATGGAGCCCAGCAGGATCATGGACTCTGACGGCGACAGAGAGGGGCCGTGTTGGCTCCCGATGCCCCCTTCACCATCGCTGCCCCGCCATCCCGGCACGCCCCATGGCCGGGGCTGGTGCCGGCGCAGCCCCCTGCCCATGTCTCACCGGCTGACTCCACCAGCGGCAGGCTCTTCATCTTGGTACTCTGCAGGACGTGCTGCAGGTCCCGGTACTTGCAGTTGAGGGTGACATAGCGGATGTCCCGCACCATGATGTCCTCCACCCGCACGTTGTATTTCCTGCCCGGGGTGGGTAACAGTGGCCTCAGGGTGATGCTGCTCCCTCCCCTTGTGCCTGGTGAGGGGCTTAGGGACAGGGCAGGGGGGACACACTCACTCGTGGTGGCCCCAGCCCAGCTCGGGGAGGTAGGGCAGCTTCTTGATGCGTATGATGCTGTCGTAGAGGGAGGGCTGGAGGCTCTGGGCCACAGCGTTGGCCAGGATGACGGCAATCATGACGGGCAGGATGTGCGAGATCTGCCCCGTCAGCTCAAAGACGATGACGGCCGTGGATACCGTGTGGGTGACGGCGCCCGACAGCGCGGCCGCTCCTGCGCCCGTCCCCAGGAGACACAGGGGCTGCTGTCAGGTGCCGCCTGCTGGGCTGGGTCCCCAGCCCGGGGCATCCACCATACCCCAAGCCTTTGGGACCTCCTGGGGACATCCCTGATGGTGGGATCGCCCCCAGTCCCTGGGGACACCACCTCAGCTCTGGGGAACCCACCAGCTCCTTTGGAGCATCTCCAAGTGATGCCCACCATGGTGTCCCTGCGCCGGCCCTGTGCTTACCCACCACGGCGTAGCCCCCCGGCACGATGCGGTAGGTGTTGCTGTTGGCATGGATGCCGTCGGGGAACCAGGCTGCCATGCTCTCCCCCACCAGGCGCCCGAAGGCTGCCCCTGCCCACAGAGAGGCAGGCAGAACGTGGGCAGGTTGCAGGTGGGGAGCGGGCACAGGGGCTCTCCCAGCACCTGACACAGCCTCACGCCCTCTCCTCTGCCCTGGCGCTGCCAGGGAAGGGGATCCCTGGGGACACCCATGGGTGCGCCAGAGTGGGCTGGCAGGCAGCTCCCTCCTCCCACCATGCCTGCGTGGCATATGGGCTCTCACCGATGACAAAGACGGGCATGAAGGCTCCGCAGGGCACCGGGATGGTGGTGGCCAGGGCCGACATCCAGAACTGTACAGGGGACACAGGCACCCGTTAGTTCTCCTCCTGGCCCAGCCCTGCTTCCTGCCCCTACCGTGCCCCGCAGCTGGCTGCTGTGGGGCAGCACGTGGGCACCGCACTGTGCCAAGGGGCAGCCCCGCTCCTCCCAGGGGCACCACGCCAGCACCTCCCCGGTGGCACCTGGGGGCACCTGGCCAGGACCTCCCTGGGGGCAGCCGGGAGCAGCCAGCCAGCACCTCCCTGGTGGCACCCTGCCAGCACCTCCTGCTGGCACCTTGGTGGCTCCCAGCCAAGATCTCCTTGATGGCATGCTGGCAGCACCCAGCCAACAAACACCTTGGTGGCCTCTGGGAGCAGCCACCCAGTACCTCCCAGTGCCACCTTGCTGGCAACCACCCAGTACCTCCCTGGTGGCATCCAGGAGCCGTCCCCAGAGCCTCCTGGTGGCACCCTGGGGCTGGCAGGGGCAGGAGGCACCCACCTTCATGAGGATGAAGACGACAAGGGTGACGAAGACGTTGGAGCGGGGGTGATGCCAGGCCTCCAGGATGCCCAAGTACTCAAACTCATCGTTGAGCCCCTGCTTGGCCCACGTCTGGTTGTCGAACAGTGTCACCAGGGTTTCCTTCTGGGTGAGCTGGTGAGGGGCAGGGGTCAGCCAGGGCTGGCGGTGGCCCCAGGGTGGGGACCAGTGTGCCACCCCACGGTGGGTACCTGGCCAGCCATGAACTGTCCAAAGCCGGGTGGGAAGGTCAGCGTGGAGATGAGCAGCGTCACCAGAGCAGGGAAGAGCAGGCGCCTGGAGGGGTGACACAGGGCAGAGGGTGACGCCAGTGCAGCCCTGGCTCCACCACCCCAGTGCTGGGGACTGCCAGGCACCTACTTCTTCATGAGGAAGCGGTTGATGGTCTTCTGGCGGCGCATGAACTGCACGATCTTGCGGTTGAGGTAGACGAAGAGCGCACCCCCGAAGCCACTGGCAATCCTGGGCAGAGGTGGGGGGTGAGCATCCGCGTGTCCTGCTGCCACCACTGCCACCACCGCCACCATCACCACCACCAGCACCACCAGCACCGCCACTGCCACCCCGGGGCCATGGCTGCCGCACTCACCCGATGACGGCGAAGGCGGGCAGCTCCTGCAGGTCGAAGGGGAAGTCAAGGCGGAAGCGGGTCTTGAACAGCGCTGTGATCGTCTCTGGGGGGGTGGCGGGGATCAGCATGGCCGGGTGGTGGGAGCCCCGTGCCCCCCCACCCCGCCAGGGGTACCTTCGTCCTTGTTCCAGACAGCAAGGACGCGGAAGATGAACGCGCTGAAGGTGGCGGCGAAGAAGCCACGCCAGTAGTTGCGGACGGCGAAGAAGGTGGAGGTGACTTCGATGCTGAAGAGGACGCCTGGCACCGGGGGGAAGCGCACGAGGGAGGCGGCGAAACCCAGGTGGGCTCCTGGTGCCCAGCATGCTTCCTCCCCGAGCCCACGCTCGTGCACACCCCGCGGGGGTCCAGCCGGCCCCACGGACACGCTATGGGGCAGTTCAAGGGCTTCCCTGGCAAAGCACGTGGCCGGTCCCCGGCTGGCAGCAGCAGGCATGGCGGAGCAGGAGTCGGCACGAGCAAGAGGGTAGCATGGGGGCATGAGCAGACATGGCAGGTGTCACTGGGGAGGGGGCACACGCAGATGGACGGACAGACGGATGGGGCAGCACAGCAGGCAGAGGGCAAGGAAAGAGTTAGACACATCACCAACCTACGGGCAGGGCTCAGCGGGGCCGGAGCGGGGAGCTCCCTGGAGCAGAGGGCGGCAGGGGAGAGGACGAGAGCAGACGTTACACCTCCAGGAGGACGGTGCCCACTCCTCCCTTCCTCCTCCCCGCCAAGAGGCACTGCCCTCTCCCATGCCAGCCATCCTGGGGGTCCTCGCTGGGCGGACCCTGGTGCCCGGGCGGGATGTGCGTGGGGGCTCGGGGGGCGGCGAAGCAGCAGCCGACACCGACGGCGCAGGCGGCCGCCAGCATTTCGATGTTCCTCGCCTCGTTCTGCGGGCGAGCCGGGGGTGAGCAGGCACTGCCCCCCCCCCGCCCCAGGCACTGCCAACCCTGCTGGGGGGCACAGGCGGAGCCCCCCTGGGGTCAGACCACCCCGCTCACCTCATAGTTGCCCCCGAAGAGGGAGAGAAAGCGGCAGAGCAGGGCTGCGCACATGCTGGCGATGTGGACAAAGGGACCCTGTGGGGACAGCGGGGGGGGCTGAGGACGGTGCCCCCCGCCCCCGGCCCCCTGCCCGCCCTGCCCCAGGCACTGCCCTCACCTCCTTCCCCAGGGGCATGCCGCTGCCCAGGGCGCACGTCAGCCCGATCACCTTGGCCACGAAGGTCTTGAGGGTGAGGTACTCCTTCAGCACGACGCCCCGCAGGATGGTCTTCATCTCGGGGATCCCCGAGCCTGGCACCATGGGGACAGCCCTGACCCACGGCCATGGGTGGGGGGACACTGGGGAGTCCCTGCCCTATAGTTCTGGGGCAATCCCTGGTGCTCTGCCATCTCCCACTGCCGTAAGGAGACCCCAGAGACACCTCTCCCCACAGCACAGTCTGCAGGAACAGCCCCATGGCCATGTAGGGACACCCCAGCCCATAGCCCTGTGGGGACCTCAGTGCCATAGCCCACAGGATACCCTCTGATGACCAGCCCACAGCCTTAGGAAGACCTCCACGACCCTCAACCCCATAGCCCAGGAGGACATCCACCCCCTAGCTCCCATGAGATCCTCTGAAGAGCAGCCCATAGCTCTTGGAAGACCTCCCAGGACCCCCGACCCGACAGCCCAGGAGGACATCCACGCCAGAGCCTCCAGGAGACCCTCTGAAGATCTGCCTATAACCCTGGGAAGACCCCAAGGAGCTGCAGCCCCATAGCCCAGGAGGACATCCACCCCATAGCCCCCAGGAGACCCTCTGAAGACCATCGCATAGATCTTGGAAGACCCTCAGGACTGCCAACCCCATAGCCCAGGATGACACCCATGCAGCTCCCAACCCACAGCCCCAGGGAGGGGGCACCCCGTTAGGGCACAGGCAGCCCCCCCGGTGACCCACCCACAGCCTGGGGGGCGAGGATCTGGGTGAAGCCAGCTGAGAAGGTGATGAGCACGGTGGGGTAGGTGACCCAGGCCAGGTACTGCAGAAGCACGTTGGTGTCCAGGCCCCCATACATCCACTTCTGGGCTGCAGGCACAGTCAGCGAGGCAGGTCATGGGTGGCAAGGGGGATGGCACAGCCTTGTGACACGGCCACACCATGCCCCCCTGGGGACGTCACCGGTGCCTACTCACCTTGGAGGCAGGTGGCGATGGCGAAGTCCATGGCCCAGCTGACCAGCGCCATGACCAGCCCCAGGAGGATGAGGAAGACCCAATCCTCGCCCACCTTGGAGATGAGGAACCGCTGGCACTGCAAGGCGCAGACTGCGGGCACAAGGGCAGGCTTAGGGCCGGGCACCCCGGTGATGGGCACACCGGGGCAGCGGGGCCAGGCTGGTGAAGACACGAGTGCTCACAACCGGCAGCACCAACCCAGCACTGCTGGCACCGTCCAGTGCAGGAGCACCATCGTGCCCAGCCATCACAGCTGTGCTGCAACCACCGGTGGGCAGGAATGGTGGGCTCTGGCTGTGCGCAGCCGCACACGGCGCCGCTGGGCATGCACCTCCCACCAGCACAGTCCCCCTGGCACAGCCCCAGGCAGAGGGGCTGGGGGCCCCCGGTCCCTGCAGCGTGCCTGGCTATTTTGGGCCATTGTGTCCCCACTGCCCAGCAGACAGGTGGCATTGTCCTCGGCACCGGTGTCCCATGACAGCCGGAGAAACCCTACCCGCCACCGCTGTGGCGGGGTGGGCAGCAGTGCCCAGACCATGCACTGCCATGGGGCTGTGCCCACCAGTGTCCCCTCTGTGTCCCCATCCCTGGTGGCCCTTACCGCGGCAGGGGGCACAGCGGCCCTGGGTGTACTCCAGCAGCTCAGAGGGGCGGCGTGGCCGGGGGGTGCCCCCCTCCCCCTGCCCCTGCTGCAGCCGCAGCCGGGCCGCCTCGTCCTTGGCGAAGGTGCCCAGGTCCTGTGTGTAGCGCCCATACATCTGGGGGAGAAAGAGCAGGCGAGGGCATCAGGGGGGCTGGCACCCTGACCCCCCATCCCCAAGTGGGGAAACTGAGGCAGGGGAGTGGTGGGCATGCTGGCACGGCCTCCCAGCACCGGGGGGTGCCAGGCGAGGGGGCAGGCGGCCATGGCATCCCCAGGGGAAGGGGCAGCGGTGCCTCTGGGGGTCCCCAGCCGCCTGCCGGGGCGTGGGAAGGGGTCGGGCAGATAAGGCGCGTGGGGACGATTGTTTTGCCCACACGCCCAGTGCACGCAGCCGGCACCGCCGGTACCAATCCCCAGCCCTGCCCAGGTGCCCCAGGCACTGGGTTGGGCTGGCGGAGAGTAGGGAAGGGCCTCCGGCAATGGGAGCATGGCCAGCCTGGCTGGGAGACTCTCCGAGGGCTGATATTGGGGTTGTGCTGGTGCTCTGCGGGTGCCTCTCCTTGGCATCACTAAAAGCAGGGCTGGGTTCCCCCCAGGTGGCAGGCTCGGCAGGCCACACAGGATACGAGCTCTCTGGTCTCAGCCGGCGGCAGGGAGGCAGGAGGGCAGTGGGGGGGCAGGGCATACCCCCAGTCTCAGGGGAGAGGGGGGCACAGCATCAGGCTTGGGGCAGTCCCTGGGTCACAAGGAGGGGATTTGGGGAGCAAGGGGGTGCAAGGGGCTCTGTGCCCAGTGGGGGGGCAACCCCTCCTCCTTGGGTGCCTCCTGCCTGGCCACGGCACGTGGCTTGGCCCTGGTGGGGAGATGGCCCTGGCAGTGCCCTCCGTGCCAGCCCGGAGCTCTTTGTGCCCGTCCTCCCTGCCGAGCTGGGGGCATTTGTCCTGCGCTGGCGGGCACTGCCAAGGACTCGGTTGCTTGGTTTCCGCCTCACTCCCCCGGCATGACCTGAATGCCAAGCGCCAGAGGTTGGCCCGGCACAAAGGGAGGCTTCAGGGCCGTGGGGGCCCCTGCCAGGCTCCCATGTTGGGGTGACGTGAGCCCCATGCCGATGGTGTGCCCACCCGCCGTGCCGTGCTGGCGCAGCGCGTGGCTGCCCAGCCGGGGCGCAGCCGCCCTCCTCCCTGGCACGGCTCGTGCCGGTGCCTGGCGGAGGGGCAACGCCATGGGTGGGCACTGCGCTTGGCACGTGGGCAGCCCAGCCCCGGCTGCCGGCGGCGGTGCCCACCCTGGCTGCCTGGGTCCTCTTCACACCCCGCTGTCCTGCTGGCACATACCAGCTCCCCGTGGGGACAGCATGAAGGTGCATTTCTCACGGGGCATCGCTCCTGCCCAGGTCTCTTTGGCAGGGAGTAGAAAGCAGCCAGAGCGGCGCCGGGTGGATTCTCCACTGTCTAATACCTGGGTTGTGCTAGACAGCGGGAGGGAGGGTGGGGAGGCAGGATTGCTGACCCCCTTCTGGCATGGATTTCCCCCCTGAATTCCTGCTCAGCACGGGCTCAGTGGCTCCTTGCCCTATGGCAATGTGCCAGGGGGAAGGCACGAGCCAGGTGTAGATGCCGGCACGGCCACTTTGGGGGCTGGATTCAGCATCGGCTGCCAGAGGAGGACCCCGGCCCTGCACGGGGCCCAGCATTCAAAGGCTCCCTTCAGGCGAAGCTTGTTTCCTCTGGAAGATGAAACAGGCCGGCGCCCCGAGGAGCACTGTCCCCCTGCCAAGCGCTCGCCTCCTCCAGCCCCGCTGCTGCCCCACAGCCAGCCCTGGCTGGGACCGGGGTACCCCCAGGCTGAGCGCCCCCCAAATCGGCTCCGTGCCCACCTTCTGGGGCTGTGCCAGAGGCTGGCATGGTGCCCCCCAGGTATTGGGGCACCCAGAAGGATGCCCAGTCCCAGGGGGGTCCAGTCTGGGTGGGGGAGGCGGATTTTGCTCCCCCTCTGCCCCCTGTTTGCAACCAACCCCCTTGCAACAGCAGGGATGCAAGCGAAGGGGCCATGCCAGCCCGCTGCCCCCTGCCACCCCGTGCCACCCTGCTGCCCCGTGCCACGGCCCCGCAGGCAGGGTATGGGACCCTGGGGGTGCCCAGTGCCGGGCAGCCCCAGCCGCCATGCCCGCAGCCCTGGCATGGCTGCAGGGTTGTGGCGAAGGCCAGTGGTGGGTTCTCTCCTTCCTCCTCCTCCTCCTCCTGCTCGGGTTATTTTTCCACAAAGGCCTTTTGAAACACAAACAGCCCCGGGACTCCAGCCTCCGCCGTGAAGCAGCTGAACAATCACAGTGCCGGGCAGGCAGGGAGCGGGCACGGAGGGGGGAGCCTGGCGGGGTGCACCCGGGGACACGGGCACGGGCCAAGGCCGTTATGTCGGCCCCGGGCTCCTGCACTGTGGGCAATGGCCGTGCCGCAGCCCCCCGGGCCGCACCAGCCCACCGGGCGATGCTGCGCCTGGGGTGGGCACCGGCATCTGGCGCTGCCGTGTCCCCGTGCCACCCTGTCCCATAGCACTGAGCTTGCCTGGCAGCAGTGCCCCCCTCTGCACGGCCGATGCCAGCCAACCTTTTCCCCAAAACCGTGATCCGGGG